ATATATTCTTGCATACACGTAGGTGATGTGGACTCATAGGTGTGTGATTGATTTTGATTATTGAATAGAATTTTGTGATTAATGTGTGATACTGGAAGAAGATCTTTAGTCTCCAGTAAAATGTATTCCTCCTGCAAATGTTATGATTAACCAATGAATGTTTCCTACATGGTGTTTAGACATTTTCCACGTTTTTGTCTGAAAAATGCTGTAATTGCAAGGAAGACCAGCTTACACATAGAAGCCTACATGTAGGATCACAGCAAAGAAGACCAGCTTACATGCCATTATTTTTATGTTATTATTTGAGATTTTTCCCTTAGGTACTCAGCTCTGGGCTTTCCCTGGGGGTGATGGTTTGGGGAGGCCTCTCTCCTCCTTGGATGCCTAACCTGGGGACAATAGGGACATTTGATTTAGGTTGACACGATAAAAATTGTGTCAAAGGGGGGAATTTGTTAGAAATTAATAAATCAGTCAGTTAATTATTAGATCTTAATGTGTTAGACTGCAATGTGTTATTAATGCAGTTTAGTAAGATTCAAAGTCTGCTCCTGTGTGCTCTGCTTCAAGGTTAGAAGATAATGTTGACTCTGAGAAGGATACCTTGACACCAGTTATTTTTGTATTAATCTTGTGTAAGAATTATGTCTGAAAGAGTGTTTTAGTTACACATCACGCATACAACATACACACACACATGGAATTCTTCATTTTGTTATGACTTGTGCTCGATGCATGCGGAGCATAAGCTATGAGACGGAGACGTCGGACTGTCTCCAACTCCTGATGTTTTTACAGCTGTCTGTGTAAGGGGTTAGCCCAAAATCATATAAATTTATTAGGTTTTGTGTTTCCGGGATCTCCTTCCTTCCAGCAGTTGTCTGGAGCAGGAGCCACCCGGGTTTGTGTTTCTGTAACTTTTTATTGTGGCTTTCAAAATAAATCACCACTAAAATGAAGCAAGTCGGACTCCATCTTCATTCAGATCTGTTCAATAAAAGAACTGGGGTATAACATATAAGTGGTTTGAGGACACTGTCCCAGTCCCACTGATGAGTTACAGCAAAGCGGTCTATCAATAAATGGTTTATGAGTGAAAGCTGTCCCAGGCAATCTATCAAACATATATATTGCTCCATCCTTGTGCTATGACACCAAAGTGTTGACTAAAGTCCCTTCTAAGATTCATTCAGGTCCTTATATAACCAGAATATTATGCTATGAAAATTTAGTCAACATAAATAGTCCACCATTTTGCAGCATCTCCTCACAGAAGATGAGCTGATGTGGATGTGGATGTTCTCCCCCAGTTCCTGGTTTAGTGCTATAAATAGTAAATAGCTTGGACTTTCCTAAATAAACACATTTTAAATTTCACCCAAAAGCAGACAGGGTGATTTAGGAGCTGCAGGTAAATGTACAATGTGTTCAAGTTTAAAAGATGGAATGAATTTGTGTAGTGATGATAGGGTCTGACCACAAAAATGGGGCGCTTGTTTCAATGCAAGGCATCTCCCTGTTAAAGGCCCCACGTTGGTTAGCGGCCACATCCTGACAGGGAATTGAACCCCAATCTGCCATATCAAACACAGTGGTGTCAACCACCGAGCTATCCAGCAGCTGGGTAAACACACATTTACATCGTTGGAAATTTCCATAAATAGAACTGAAATATCACTAATCATCTCTTCTATTCTGGACCTCTTTTCAACATCATGTTTTTTCCATAAAAATTGCCAGTTTTAAAAATTTTATTTATTTTCCATATTCACCATTGTTAGGTTATTTCCTAGTTAGATAGATATTCAGAGATTTGTTGTCTAGAAATGTTAGTGGAGACAGATTGACTAGCTCAGGCTGTTAACTGTGCTTGCAGTGCAGACTGCAGGCACGTCAAGGTTACAGGAAAAGAGCTGTTAGGGTCAACTGTAATGCTAGTCTTAATATTTGTCTTAATGTGTAAGGTTATGTCCAATTGTTTTAGATACACACCACGAAAACAACAGTCACGCACCTTGACTTTTCCTCATGTTTTGGCTAACGTTAGAGTCAGCTGCAAAGCTGGCTTATCAGGTGACGTCACGGTCTTGATGCCCCTTGTAGCATGGGCTAGCCCAAAAATGATTAAGATTATATAGGCTTTTTGGTCCAGGCTTCTTGATCCTTTCTGCTGCCTGCGCGCAGGTAGAGGGTGAGAGAAAGGTCTGGACGTGTAATGTAAATTTTACCTGTGATCCTCTGAATAAACCAGATTCATTCAGGTCCTTATATAACCATAATATTATGCTATGAAAAATTTACAGTAATTTACAGTAAAATTTTCTTTTTTATAAAATCTAAAGCAGTCTACTTCGTCTCATTGAGAGTTCCTGGTTTAAAAGAACCGGAAGAAGCTTCAGAGAAATAATAGCTTATAACCATTCACTACATCCTTCTTCGAGAACTTTTCATTCAAGTAAATAATATCTGAGATCAACTGTTCATGTTTTAAAAGAGCATTGCTAAGCTTTTAGTAAGCCGCATTTTTTCTATTGATCCAAATATTTCTCACATTTGGTCTCAATTTAATTGCTCTATGACCTGTCAGGGGACATTTCTCCCTCATTCACACTGGTTTGTAGTTCTGATGAAATCAGCCAAAAATCAACTTGGTGTTATAGCCAAGTTTTTGTTTGTCCGGGAGGAAACTGAGGAGGGCAGCAGTACGCCTTTTCCGCGTGTAGACTGCCGCAACAAAGACTAAGAAGAAGAAGAAACATGGCCCCTTAGCAAAAAAGAATATCCGAGTGGATGGCAGCAATATTGTTATTTTGTACTGAAAATTCTGTTTATGGCCAGGAGTCCGTCAATTTTTAAAAATCCAGATTCACGGTAAATGGCATTTAACTTATTTCAGACACTCCATAGTTTTGTTGTTGTCAGTGGCTGTCATGAATGGAACCTATTAGCTATATGTTTACGTTGACTATATGTTAACCTTACGCACGCCGAGCTTAACATCAGTCACATATTGGATCGCAGTGGTCGTATAGCCATTGTGAGTATGAACGTAAACGGGGGGCGGATTTCACTGTGACGGTACATCTAATGACACTCTTCCTTTGTTTTGGTACTTAGACAATGAAGGTGCGTGTCCAGCTGCAGTGTAAGAATTTGCATGAATACCTGAGAGAGCTGAGTCCTGAGATCTTGTACAGACTGTACAACCATCCAGCAACATGTCTGGCGGTCTACAGGTATGATATGGCTTTAGCAGAGACTTCACTAATGGTTATGATGTTGGTATGACATGCAACTCCCGATGACTGTGATGTGCAGTAGTATGTGGTTGATCTAACTTTACAGGGAGCTCCCCTCTCTTGCTAAGAATTATGTGATGCGTATGCTGTTCCTGGATCAACCTCTGCCCCAGGCAGCAGTGGCATTATGGGTGAAAAAGGACAGTCAGAAGTGAGTGGCTCACCTGTCATGTCTTCACTACACTTTCTAGCTGAATTGTAAGTTAGGCGAAGCATTTTGGTTGTGGTCCTCTACTACTGTGCAGCATTTCCCTCAAGGGTCTATTACTTGGTCTTTTATTTATGATTATTCTTTTCCATTTACATCCACATTAATTGTCTAAAAATCCTGTATTTAATGCATGCTGTGTTGTTACCAGCCAGATCCCTGCAGTCTTCTGAAATGTGTGATCATTCATTCAGTAACAAGTCCCTGATATGATACTAATATCAATGCCCTCTTTCCCCCAAATTTATAACTAATTTAATAAACAAACACCATAGTGGAAACAAATGCAGAACCTGTGACGAGCGTTACTCAGCTTGAAACATTTTGGTAGGTTCCTATAATGGAAAAATCCCTTTAGTAGGAGAAAAATGGTGGACTACACATTTCAGACTGATACAGACTGATACCCAGTCTAGCTAAGTTTTTTGTTTTGATTTGTTTCTAAGTTTTTTCCTTTTTATCTTTGGCCTCTACCCGTAGGGATCACAATGAATGTGTCTCCGTGTTGGCAGGACTTCGCCTATGGCACAGTCAGCAGCTCCAGGGTGGTCTTCAGGGATACATGTTAAATCCAGTGTTCAAAGACAACCTGAGGATAGCTCTGCTTGGCGGGTAAGTCTGCTCCCTGTGAGCAACTTGTCTAATCACAGGACTGCAGCACACTTCTACCCCATTCTTGCTACGTTCAGACTACATGCTGAAGTGACTCAAATTTCTTTTTCCCCTCCAAGTGAGGCAGATCTTTTCATAGATATGTGGACAAAGCAAATCAGTTTTTCTTTTCACATCTGGGCCGCTTCCATATATGGTCCTAGACCCAGTACATGTCCTATATCTGAACATGCGACTTCTGTCAGAATGACCAGATTGGAATTCATGTGTGTGTGTTTTTTTTAATAATCTCCGCTCATGTGCAGATTGTCAGAAGAGACAGAACTTTTGTTTAATATTTATGCAGAAGCTTCTGATCATACCAAACTAAAAGGAACATATCATAACCAAAAAGCTTTTTGGGGAACTGTGCAATATGATTGTCACACAAATAGCGTTGTTATTCTTATACATGCATGACTCACATTTCAGTTAAATCTGCACACACAGGACCTGGACACGTCACTTACAAACATGAATGTGAAACAAGAACATTGAATCTGGTTGGAGTTGAGCATTAAGACCTGTAATATGAACGTAGTGTCTGTTTTTGTAAATATTCACCTCAAACTGAACATGGTGCACACAGCTCTGTGTTAGTGGATGTGTGGTGTTTATGTTTGTAAAAAAACAAACACACCTTCCTTGCTCGGTTTTCCCTCTCAGCCTTGGCCGGCCAGGACGCCACTGGAAAAAGTTATAGGCGGAGATTCAAAATGTTACAAAATCTCATTTCTAAATCGTAAACAAGGTCTAATGAACTCCCAATGTCTTTCTAATGTTTTATTTTAACACAAACCTGAGATGAAAATGCAGCACTCTTGCTACAGTCTTCATTAGTTATTTGAAGTAAAAGATGCTGTGTTGACATACAGGGGCAGAGCGTGGGCCGATGAGGGCAGTGCTCTGGGTCCTGACCGCCATGCACGGGATATTGAGAGTCTTGACCGCTATGCTATGGAGCGCTGGGAGGTCATTCTGCATTTCATGGTGGGTTCTCCCAGTGCTGCTGTCAGTCCGGACCTGGCTCAACTGCTGGTCCAAGCAGACCTCATGAAAAGGTACACAACAGTAACAGTAGAGAGTACTGAGCACTGTTTATGTTTAGACTGTAAAATGTCTTGCTCTCTAATGTTAACTCAGCTTTGCTAGTGCTTGTGGTCCATACTGTCTGCTCCTCCACAGGAGGAGTCCTTTAAGTCTTGGAAGATATTCTTCACTATTCCTCTGAACTGAGAGAGCATCACTTAAGTAAAGGTGTAAAGTCTGTTTCTGCTGCAGATCATCACATCTGATGTTTGTCTCCATGGCTCCTTCTGGAGATCATGCCGTATTTTCTCAGTCTGGATGATCTGAGTTTCCTTCTGTCACTTGTCTTTTGTAAATGGAGTCTGTGCTTGACACTAAACTGTGGCGCTGTGAACACATCATCATATATGTGGTTAAATAACACACACAAACACTCATGGGTGCCAGCTCTGTGCACTGTGTGAGCCGACACTGTGACTCAGTCATCACACCTTACATTTTAATATCACAACTGGGAGCGTTCCATTTCGCAGGACATACACTTTACTGATGACTGGATCATTAAGCGCTCACAAAAATGTAACGTTATGAGTTTCAGACAGATTATGCAAATGTTCCTTTTCTTGGAGGAAAAAAAACGGCAGAGCGTCATTCCGGTGCATTCTGGCAGGACTACACCAATGACTTCAGTAAAGGATGTGAAAACTTCCTTTACTACTGGTGCTAACAAGCTTTAGTTACATTATATAAAATGTTGTAGTTACAGGCTGTTTCTAATCCAGTTTATTGCTGTAATTCTGCCATCATTCTTTATTAATGTAATTCTTTACCAGTTATTACTAAGCAATTCTTAGTGATCCAACTTTAGATGTAGTTTGTTGTGTTAGGGACAGAAATGAATGAATACCTCAGGTTGTCTACTGTACCTCAAATTCTCTCATCTTCTCCATTTGTCAGTGAGGCAGGAGAGGCACCTTACATCACCTCAGCTGGTTTCCAGTTCCTTCTACTGGACACAGCCTCTCAGCTATGGTATTTCACCCTGCAGTACCTCAAAACTGCCCAGGTACCTGTGTTTGATCAGCTATAGGTTTAAATAAGTTGGACCAGTGTTTATTGGCCATTTTCCATTAAGTCCATAAATTGTCTAGCTTCTCATTACTCTGATTAACACATCTGAAATAAGGGCCATTTTAACATAATGACTTTTTATTGTAAACTGTTAAATGTGACATAGTAACAAAGATGATAGTTGATCTCTTTTTAACCTGGGGTTAGTGTTAGGCTTCTCTTTAACCTGATTTAAGTAATTAGCTCCATAACATCAACACTGTGTGCAACCATCTGGTTTACAAAACAGTTTTTATTGTGAGTGCTGACATTATTTGGTTACATCTGATATAAAGATAATGTCAGACCATCATGTGCCAAACATTACGTAGCCTACTCCACCTATTTTCAGTGCTTTTTAATGTTGGCCAGAGTGGAAATCAATTTATTTTCAGCACTCTAAAACATCTTTATAATTAAACCTTAGATAATTAAAGTTCTTTTGGTAAACATTGCATAGACAGTCACACATTCATAAAACAACTCTGTTTTAATCACAAGTTTGTTTTCGCACAGAAATAGGTCACAGAACATAATTTCTAATATACATTCAGCTATAACTGAAATACAATAACACAAGGGTTTTAAAAAACATTTGATGTTGGAAACATCAGCATTTAATGATACCAGTTCTCAAAATAGATCAACACTTATAGGCAGGCAAAAAAATTCTACAACAGCAATTAACTTGTCTGATATGAAATAAATGATCAAATCCAGCAAAAGTCAAAGTGCAGCTGCAACGATAACATCAGGTATGCATGTTAAACTGGACCCAAAAACACGCAAAAGAACAACACAAGCATGCAGATGGCTAAAAAGTTAATTATGGGATATGTAAATGGAGCAAAGCCACCGTAAGATGGGAGCAGGTTGTGCAGCCTGACAGCAGCAGGAAGGAAGGGCGTGCGATAACGCACTTGGGGTGAAGCAGTCTGTCGCTGACTAAGCTGCCCGGTGATGTCAGAGTCTCTAAAAGCTTTCGGACAACAGATATTGTGAGGACACATATTAAAAAAGCCAACACTTATTTTTGGTGTGCACACAGTAAAAGTAAAAGAGCTCAGAGCTGAACAAAAGCACTGGGAAAGATTCCTGCAAAACAAGTCCCAAAACATGATGACAACAGATTAGGGCTGCACGATAAATCGTTTTGGAGCGTGATTTAGATCCCTGTGCGATTTCAGTCTCACGTGACAATGGTTCTACTGTGTTAACAGGGAGATGCCTTGCATCAAACCAAGCGCTCCTACTATATAAGGAGGAAAACTGTTAGACAACGAGCAGAGGAAGGCTTTAATGTATTAGACTGTCAAACTATTTAAGATTCAATGGCTAAAAAGGTGTTTAGCTGGTAATACTCTCCCCTGGTTTATCATTCCCCACTCTGTTTGGTCAGTGTGGTGTTTTCCTGTATTTTTATTTCAGGTAAATTACCTGTAAAACTTGCCAACTTCCATAAACAAGCCCTTGACACATGAAAAATTGCTTTCGCAACTTCTCCCCACTCAAATGCATTATGTGGAGTAATGAGGATGTCATGTAAAAATAAAGAACTGGCCTGACCAAAGTATTATATTTACCTCTGAGCTTATGAATGAAAAGGGGGAATTAGCTAGCTATGAAGATTTTATCAGGCAGAAGAATTAGGCAGTTCAGTTTCTTACTCTTATTGTGAAATTATAGTTTGTACATTATACTGAATCTATAGTGTGAGCTGTTAGTTTAGGTAATTCCACTCCCTCCCACCTGGAATTACTAGAGACCAACGTTATTTGTTCATGTTGGCTAGCACTGGAATACCAGATTTGATTTTATAATATGGTTAATTCTTTTGGCTTTTGCAGTCCAGAGGGATGGACCTGGTAGAGATCTTGTCATTCTTATTCCAGCTCAGTTTCTCTACTCTGGGCAGAGTGAGTACACAACAGTTTGCTTCTGTTTGATTGTGTGTGAGTGAGAGAGAGAGATGGAAAGCAACATAACAGTGTCATAATGCAGTGATATGAAGTTTTAAAATATTCTGTTTAGTTTGAGTTTTTTTGTTATTGATCATATGTTGACTGCATTCTTCAGGATTACTCGGTGGAGGGCATGAGCAAGTCATTGCTCATCTTCCTGCAGCACCTGCGGGAATTTGGACTAGTGTTCCAGAGGAAGGTGAGACACTAAGGAGGAGAGGCACAATTCACTAACACTTAAACTGCTGTCAGTGTTGTTACTGTGTTTTGGTGGTCATAGCTCAAAGGTCAGCATCATTGGTTGGCCTTTGGCACATTTCATTGTGTATTATTGAATGAGGCGGTAATTCTAGTTTTACTCTTGTTTCCATGGCTAGGAGACTTGCAAGAAACAGATTTTGTTCAAAAAAATTGAAGCAGCAGAAGCAAAGATATGGTGCCTTTCTGTGCCACGTATGAGTCAAGTTCCTGCTTCCTATAGTTGTTAACATCTCTTCATGAAGTTCTCTATGGCTTACTGACTAAAGTCCCACGTCTTTCAACTTCTCCACCTTCGGTTTGTCAGAATCAGCTTTATCGGCCAACCTGTTGAACACACGAGGACTTTGACTCCAGTACAACGGCTCTGTGTATGTACAGTGTTGTTCCATAAGGCAACGAGTAAACAAGATAAGACTGAAAGAACAAGAAAAGATGGCAAATGAAAATATAATTAGAGTTAGGTCTGTATGCACACAGTTTAGATAGAGTTTTCAGACAGATATATAATGTATAAAGTATGTTTGCAAGATACTGACAGCACTGAGGGTTGTTCTGTTACACAGTCATGGGTTAACTGGTCACCAGAGCAATGGCCCAGGGTCAGAAACTGTCCTCGTGTCTGGTTGTCTTGTCTGCATTATGCCAGTTAAAATATGGGGTTTCTCATCTGCCTATCTATGGAGGAGACATTCAGATGAATTAATGCTTTCGACACAACACCGGCAGCAGGAGTTGTGCATGTTCATGAACTATCCTCTTGTTTTTAGGAAGAGGCTCTCGGGTTTTATTGCTCTGAAATAATTTGACTATTTGGGGTTATGAGGGTGCCAAGCTAATCTAGAGGTTCCCAAGATTAAACATTAAATGGCTGGAAAAGAGCAAAATGAGCAGCCATGGGGACTTTAAGTGTGCATAGTTATATTACGATGCAATTCTTCTGTCTTTTGTCCACAGAGGAAGTCAAGGCGGTACTACCCCACCAGATTGGCCATCACTCTGGCTGCAGGAGTCACTATGAACTCCTCCTCTGATTTGGCTTCCACTTCTGTTACTGGAGATGCAGGCTTCATTGTGGTAGAAACCAATTATCGTATCTACGCCTACACAAGTATGAATGTATTGCATGTTAACACCTACTTTTTAAGCAGCGTATCTATTCCTTTAAGACAATTGTAGATGAGGCTGGCAGACCCTTACCCTGGCTTTCCACCAGGGGTGGCTGTGTGGCAGGAGTGGGAGCTGATCACTGCCACATCAGACGATGCTTTAGATTCAGTCACAACCATCCCAGAAGTAGAGCTGTCCCAAAAGGCAATCTTTGGGCTCCAGATATTTGGTGGTAACAGTTAGCTAATAATAATCAGGGGCAGGGAGGCTGACATTGTGTTGCAGCAAAAATACCTCTTTGGCAGTAGTTTGGTACTAACTTTAATAAAAGCTAAGTGATATCCGGTTTTGATAGATGCTGCTTCTGTTCAGCCACCAGTTAGGTAGCTCTAACCCCTTCTCCTTCTACACCCCATGCCTCCAGCCCCCACCAAAATAATAATTATAAGGATGGATGTACTTTTAACAACTGTAACACAGGTTGAAAAAAACAAATCTACTGGACTAGATTTCTAGGTACCCCAGTACGAGAAAACATTCAGGAAACTGGCTGACTACAGAAACCACCTTTGTTTCAACCTAAGATGCCACCAACAGGATGTCTTCCCCAGAAGTTTGAGGCTGGGCTCTCCTGTAAAAGGATACAGGGCTGGGAACATCCTGAAAAGAGCACAAGCACAACTTTTAAGTGAAAGGATTCGACAAATACACTTCACTATAGACAACCTGATGGACCAAACAGAACAACTAGGAAGGAGACTCTCCACTAAGGTTACCAGAGAAATCTTTCAGGAGATCTCAAGTTTCATGGAAAAGGCGCAACTTACCCAACATAACAAGAGCAAGGCTCGCCAAATGGTTAAATTCCAGAGACTACAGAATGGACAGCCAGCCTCAGATGTCCTTGGTTGGAGGAGAAAGGAGGAGCACAACCCACAACCATTGCACAACGACAAATGGGTCAAAAATCTCTCAGACAGAGAACTCATGGACACAGAAAAAGAGGTATTAGCCAAGGGATTGAATTTTGCGGTCACACCCTAACAAATCCCTGTGGTAGACTTCATCACAGCCACAGAGACAGCCATTAGGAACAACCAGCTGGCCGAGACAGAGGCGGAAGAA